GAGAGAGAGAGAGAGAGAGAGAGAGAGAGAGAGAAGGGGTTGTGACACAGGAAATATATTAACAGTTTACATGTACTTGCATAACAAGCAAAACCTCCCGGTATCACCACGAACCCAGGATACAAAAGTCCCCACCGAGTTCTCGCTAGAGACAACGAAACACAACAATAATAAGCCAGTGTACATTTCTATCTGTTTCCGTAGTGTAGAGGTTATCACATCCGCCTAACACGCGGAATGTCCTGGGTTCGAGCCCAAGCGGAAACTCTTCATATTTTTGGTCAACACGTGGGCTTTTGTTGTTGTTGTTGTTGTTGTTGTTGTTGTTGTTGTTGTTGTTGTTGTTGTTGTTGTTGTTGTTGTTGTTGTTGTTGTTGTTGGGATTTTTTTTTTTATTCAGGAGAAATTTCCATAACGACCCCCCAAAAGATCATAATATCCACCTGTCCTACCGACCCAATATGTCTATTTTTTTGTTTAGATTTTGTTTTGTTTGTCAGTTTGTTTGCTTGCTTGTTTATTTGTTTATTTGTTTGTTTGCTTGTTTGTTTGTTGTTGTTTTTTTCGCTCCCAGTAAGTGAAATGACAATAACAACAAAAAAACAACAAAGAAACAACAAAAACAAAACGTACATATCTGTACTCACCCGCATATTTGCTATTTATATAGTCCTCTTTGCAGATGAACTTGTTTTCCTCCAGCACGTACAACTCCTCGCCCGTAGATAGCTGCTTCCTGCACACCACGCACGTGAAACACTTGAGGTGGAACACTTTGCTGCGCGCGCGACGCACCAGGTCGCTGGGAGATATGCCCTGTGCACATCCCGCGCACTTTGTGCCATAGCGTCTGAAAAAGTACCAAAAACACCGTATTATATTCATGTATATTATTATTACATATCAGCAGAATCTCCCCCTCCCTAAGTAAAAAAAAAGACTAATAAACATTATTTAAAGAAACAACTAATGAACAAATAAACAAACAAAGATATGAACAAAAATAAATAAATGAATAAAGAAACCCACAAAGAAAAAGAAATCCAAAAAGAAAAAAAAAGAAAGAAAGAAATCCAGAAAGGAAAGAAAGGAAAGAAAGAAAGGAAAGAAAGAAAGAAAGGAAAGAAAGAAAGGAAAGAAAGGAAAGAAAGAAAGAAAGGAAAGAAAGAAAGAAAGGAAAGAAAGAAAGAAAGAAAAAAGGAAAGAAAGAAAGGAAAGAAAGAAAGAAAGAAAGAAAGAAAGAAAATTTCTTTTTTAAATATCGGGAGCAACGATACCAAGAAATAATTTTGAAAATCTTCAGTCTGATTTTGAGCTGGAGTAAAGAGAAGGATATAGATCTAGACCCGATAACAGTTATTCAGTGCAAGTAAAAAACAAGACAGACAAGCAGACAGAAAGGGTGAGCGTCCCAGAAAAGAAGTAGGACCTACCAGTGAAACCGTACAACAGTGACATTACATAACACCCTCCCTAGATTCGCCTGTTTTCTGCTTCTCTCTCTCTCTCTCTCTCTCTCTCTCTCTCTCTCTCTCTCTCTCTCTCTCTCTCTCTCTCTCTCTCTCTCGCA